ACAAATAGAAGTGCCAGTTGCATCTAATCCATACACAAATACTTCTTGCATTCATTTACTAAATAAGGCTGTGTGACTAGGACTTGTATGTATCCCTCTGATAACCTTTGTTGTGTTCAAGGACACCGATAAGGTTGCCGATGAGAAGCATGTAATGAACTATTGTTACCATGTAAGACGAAGCTGAAAAGTAGCATTGCATCCTGCAGTTCCCAGTAGATTGAGGAGAACAAGCTCACAATGTTTTTCAATAATATCAATGCTACTTTTACATTTGATTCCATTGGCATTTCAGTAACAGTTGAACAACTGCCAGGGGTGAATTTTGAATGTATTTAATATAATTTGTTGTGAATCATGCTCTATATTTCTATGGATTCTGCACAAACAGAATATGTGTCATTCAAAAAGGAAGTTAGCAACAACAATTTATAGCCTAAAAGTATTTCATAGCTCAAATTACACTGAACGTCATGTTCAATCTACGTTAATACATTATCTTCAAATTACATAAATCTGTATGATATACATAGAATGTGCATAATTACATATATTGAAGTATCTTTCCATATCATTGGTGTTTCATTGCTATACAATGTTTGTTTCAGAAGACCAAAGGATTTGGATTCTACAATCTATACGACTTTCTGTCAGTTTTCCTTTCACCTGTTAATCTTTTTGATTTAGTTATAGAAACATGCTACTCTAGTTCAGATTTTGTAATGTAGAAGTTCTTGTAAAGTAATGTAGAAGTAGGACCTGAAACAAAGCAATATCAAACAACAAAATGAAAATGAATATCTCAATCCTAAATTAACAATATTAAAGCATTGTAAACTAAGTAGAATAAAACTGTTAGAGATCTATCATTTTCCTTAGAAGGGAATTCTGGAAAAGGGATGTTGTCACAAAAGTTCTGAATCAAATCAGCTGAATCTTCGTATGAGAAAAATTAATATGAAAGAATGTAATGTTTAATATAATCTGGCCAAAGCCTCTTTGGACTTTATAAATAACTCTTAACTTGAACACTGGATTGAATGAAATGAGAATCAGTACAATTGATTTAAGGCTAAATGTTTGAAACTGAAAACATTTTGTCCTAAATGTTTGAAACTGTATACAGTGTTCATGTTTTATCATTAGCATTAGTCTAATACTTTTTGTGGTCATAAGTAAAGAAATGGTTTTAAATTATGCAGATGTATAGGCTAGTATACTCTTTTGCAAAATGAGCCTGCATAATGGCATTCTTGGGCAATCTGCTGCTAGGATAACAGGTAATTACCAATCAAATAATTATAACTACCACTTACATTGTTTTGAAACAATGTCTTTGCACTGTTGTGGTATCATAAGAAATCAAAATCTTATCTTCCTTAAGATCTTATTGACAAAATGTGAGTTTTATTTTTTATTAATTACTGTACTTCATTATGGAGTATTAAGACTCAGTAGGTATGGTCTGAATAGTACTTAAATACCCTGATCTAATTTTCCAAGGAATGAATGAATAAATAAATATATATGTATATATACGTGTGTATATGTGTGTGTGTGTGTGTGTGCTTCAAGATATTGCTTCAAGAGACTTTGTCTTTCCTGAATTTGTAAAAATTAATTTTCTGTTTAAAAAGCTGAATGTGTTTCCCCATCCAATATGGGGTCGCACTTTGAATTTGAACTACTGTATGTATTATTTTATTGATTAGAAGGACAAATGTTTCAAAATAGAACTTTTTCCCAAGAAGGCTTAAAATATTCTAATATATATCAAAGTTTAGATATATAAACTTTTTCTCATTTGCTAATTTAAATGGTTGTATATTTAAAAGTTTCAAATATTTAGTACATATTAATACTGATATTTTGAACAATCTCACATGTTTATGAAAAAGAAAAAGATAAAATGTATCTTCTCATTGCCTAACAGCCTAATCTAAAATAAAATCACTGCTGCAAAGTGAAGTAAAATTAATGAGATGGTGGAGGTACTCATTACTGGAAATGCAGATATACTAAATTAAATATTTCATTCAACAATTTATTCTCTGGTACCACCAGTAATCTTTATCTTCTTCCATTTCATTAACTGAAAATGGACATTGAGACAGATGCCGCTGTAACCTTTTCCCAGTGTCAAAAAAGTCTCCAACATTTTCCTCAAAGTGCTTGAAGTCTCTCCTTCAACCTCTTTATCTTTATCTTCTTTTATTATTATTAATAACAACAATCCTTGAGAAGAAGGCGAAGATCTCACTGCTAGGGAACTGGAATTGAGAGTGAAGGTCTCATATTAAAAAGTCCTGGCGCTGTTTTACTTTCTCAGGCATTATTCATAGGTGTCCTCTCTCTGCAGACAAAGGGGCCAAAGGTTTCCACAAAATGCAATCGCTTAAATTTTGCAAGATTTAATAGACACTTTTTCTCCTAGATTCAAACTAAGGTGTTACTCTTCATACTTAAAGCATTTGCTGACCATTCCTTGTTTCAAATGCTGGTACCCACCAGTGCCTAATGCAATGTGGCTAACCTAAGGCTTTAGTTCATATATGCATTTGTACACTTGTGTTAACTGGCTTTCCTATTTTCTGCTATGTTAATTTCCTTTGGTAATGGTGATTGGCAAAAATAGCATTATTAGTACTCAAGATTGCTTAAAATTTTTAAGTAGGATCCCCCCCCCCCCGTGTCACTCTATTGCTTGCGATGTGAATAAGTAAAACACTGTGTTTCCTTATCTTTGTGGTATTTCAGTGAAATTAGCTTTAATGTTACAATCTATGGTCAAATTTGGCCATAAATAAGAATGTAACCATTCTTCTTTAGTACATTCTTTAAGCAGTTGAACTGATGAGAACAATAAAACAAACTTGTTTATTATGGAAAGCACTTTTGGGGGGTTGATTATTGTTAGGGAACAAAATGCAAATGCAGGTCTGTCCTAAATTTTTCTGGATTGCAACTTTATCTAATTTACATGCTGTTTACAAGCCAGTTAGTTAAATTGTATAAAAACAACAGATTGTATAGCCTCTGATGAACTACTGCTGTTATAAAATTCAAGGGAGAAGTTATGTGTCTTGGTCCATTTAAATATTTTTGAAAAATCATATTTCCAGTTTATATGTTGTTTTCAATGTATTCCGATTCCAAAGAAGGGCAATGAGAAAGAATGTTCAAACTACTGCACCATTGCACTCATTTCACATGCTAGCAGTATGTGGATCAAGAACTCCCAGAAGTATAGGCAGGATTTCGAACAGTCAGAGGAACTAGAGATCAAATTGCCATCATACGCTGGATCATGGAGAAAGCTAGGGAGTTCCAGAAAAACATCTTCTTCTGCTTCATTGACTATGCTAAAGCCTTTGATTATGTGGATCACAACAAATTGTGGCAAATTCTTAAAGAGATGGGAGTACCAGACCATCTTATTTATCTCTTTGGCCACCTAATGAGAAGGAAAGACTCACTGGAGCTGGGAAAGATTGAGGGCAAAAGAAGAAGGTGAT